AGGGTTTTTGTTACCGGCGAGACAAGAGTAGTCTCCTTATGAAACCAGTAGCTCAGGACAAGCTCCAGTAAGTGCCAATATCAACCAAAGCAGCCATGGCACGAATCACACTACCGGAACGATAGGAGCATTGCCACCAGTGTGGATGTCTGCTCCTGTACTACAGCGGCGACAGGGTCGGCTCGGAGCGTCGAAGGTTGGAGGCTCAGTTACCACAAGAGAAGCGTAGGAGTTAGGATTACCGGGGCCCTTGAAAAAAAAGACTCTCAATCAATAATTTCCCCTTTTAAGAGAGCCATAAGTAGGGTTAAGAAGGGTCTGCCTTCAAGGGGTCTCCCTAATGCCCCCTAAGAGCTGACTTCTCAAGGTTCGAAACGGAACGCCATCGCCCCGAAGGCCAAGCCTTCAAGCCGAAATCCCGCACTTTCCATTGATCCCCGAGGGCTCAAGGTTTGGGTTAGCTGTGAACCCTACATAAAGATATGAGGCTTCACTCTATCTTTCAATCACGCTTGTTCTGCTGTGCACGTGCTGTTGATTAGCGATCGAACCACCGACGTGAGCGGATCAAGACTCAAGACGCCGATCGACCTCGAAGTCTTGGCGTACTTTTACTACTATTGTCATTGCTGTTGCTATTACCACTATGCTTATGATTCTGACGATCACTGATACTATGATTCTGAGTGTATTAATATTGGTATCATTGTGATTGCTTGGCTGCAAGACGGTCTGAAGTCTGTCAGTTTAAGACCTACCCAAAACCCCAAGCTCCGTTCTGTCAGCCCACAAACATCCCAAGCACGAGAATCTCATCCATCTCTTCCAACCCCCCAAACCCTAAATCCTAAACTTTTAAACCCTAAACGCCTAAACCCCTAAACCCCTTAACCCCTAAACACCCTAAACACCCTAAAACCCCTAAACCCCTAAACACCCTAAACCCAAACCCCTAAACCCCTGAGCCCCTAAACACCCTAAACAGCCTAAACCGTAAACCTTTTAAACCCTAACACCCTCCCTAGACACCCTACACCCTAAACCTCTAAACCCCCCTGAACCCCAAACCGTCCCCCAGGGCCCTAGCTGCCTTTACTCCTGCTCGTCTTTTTTGCTTTGCGGGGAGGTGCAGGCGCTGCCGAGCGGCTCCGGTCAGATTTCTGAGCTGGTGGCGACCCTCCAAAAAGGGTTTAGGGTTTAGGGCTTTGAAGGATTTAGGGCTTATAGGGTTTAGGGGTTTAGGGGTTTAGGGGTTTAGGGTTTAGGGTTCAGGGCTTAGGGTTCAGGTGTTCAAGGTTTAGGGCCTGCGGTTTAGGGCTTCAGGGTGCAAGGTTTATGTATTTCAGCTTCGAGTGTGGAGATAAAACATGCATGATTCTGTATGAAACTCTACTGATTTACTACGTCTCACTGCACACCCTAAACACTAACCCCTACAGTGCCCTACAGCTTTGAAGCTCTGCACCCTCTTATGTTCATGGTTCTCACACGGACATCGTGCCGCGGAGCCTAAAACCCAAAAGTCCTACCTTTTAAATTAGCTGTCTCAGAAGCCACTGGCATTCAATCAATGTTCGCATAACCATGCAACATGGAGCCACAGGGCAACCTGCATCAAGTCTAGGCCGAAAGCATTGGTGCAAACTCATTCGCTGCTTGTTTAGGATGTGGTCCACCTTGCCCAGCACCGGACCCGAACCTGGAAGGAAGGCCCAGGGGCCTAATCGGACGAGATCCGCCTCCTCACGGCCATGGCTTATGAAAGGCATGCATAGAATGGCTCAAGAGAGGAATAAAAAGACGCTGTGTTTGGAACCGTTCACCCCGCCTGGGAGCCCGAGTTCCCTAGAGAGGAGACGGGCGCAAAGCTCAGGCGGCTCACGCGGCAGCCTGCCGCCATTCTTTCCCTGCACAGAAGCGCTGAGGGCGTCGTCTGCTCTGGAGGCTCCTGGGCTCATGGCTTTCTCAGGGATTTAGTCTAGTCTTGAGCGTTTAAATTGAACGCCGGGTCGCTGCTTTAAGGCCCGATTCCGTGTTTAGGGACTGGGTTCGGACCATGAAGAGGGGGTTGCAATGCGTAGCTACGATCACGGAAACCTTGCGACTCGTTTGCCTCTGCGATCATCCTGCTCTTGGGTTTAGTACACCACCTATGAAGCCCAACCAAACCGGGGTTAAGTTTCCGGAAATTCGGGCCTGTCACACAGCTTATATACAGATCCCTACAGAAGGCAGGACCCTCCACTTCGCAGAGACCACACAACCCCATGCTCTCCTAAAGAGCCTCTTAGCCCACGCTTGCCCCTCCGGCTGCAACTGGACCTCAAACAAGATCGTGCTACTCTCCTCGGGCACGTGGTTCAGCTCTGACATCGCTTTCGTAGCAACCTCCGCAGACTCCAAAATCTAGGCCCAAAGATACCACGCAAAAACGATGAGCTGCAACGCCAAACCCAACCGTCAGCAGGACTTCGCTTGGCCCTTCCATCCATCATAAGCTTAAGCTTTGTTTCGGCGCTCAGCTGCCGAGCCCCTGGGTACGGTCTGAGCCCTAGGAAACCCTGAAGGGAAAGAGCACCAAATCCAAAGTCGGGGCGGAATTTTCTCAGGCCTGGCCTTCAGGCGTCAGTCGTCTTTGCGGCCTTTCCTGGGAATGGCAACTGCTGAGCTGCTGTTTCTACCCTCACTAGTATAGTGTTGCCACCGGCTGCTGTGCTAAGTCTGGCATGGCAACTACTGTTGCTGTGTCTACTCGTTGTATTATGACTGACAGTACAAGTTCCGGGTGCTTCTGGAAGCATAAATGCTACTATGGCCAGCGGCGTCGCGATCACTCGTCGCTGTACTTGTTTCTGTTGCTGTTGCCAATGCTTTTGTCGCAACTGCTGTTGCTGTTGGTGGCAGAGGGGGTCACGGTTGCGATGGCGGTGTAGCACCAGCAGTAGTAGTAGCAATAGCAGCAGTAGTAGTAGCAATAGCAGCATTAGTAGTTGTAGTAGTAGTAGTAGTAGTAGTAGTAGTAGTACTAGTAGTAGTAGTAGTAATAGTAGTTCTAGTAGTAGTAAT